TCATCCCCAGAAAAACCTGAACAAGCTCGAACACACAAGAACCGGCAGGTTTAAGACCCAAGATAAACGCCTCCAGCTCGAGCTTGACCGGGATGATATGGGAACGCCCTTTCTCCTACCTCTCAAACTTATAAGAGCTCATGACACCAGATGCATATTCGGGAGCAGTGAATTCACGTCATTAACCCATAGATTGGCACATTCCGAGTGATATGTCTGCCCTCCAAAATGAACCGCTCGAGACACGGGCTGGCAGCAGATCGCACAAGGCCTTAACGAACCGAATGTCAGATGATAATGACCAAAGTAGGTCAAACGTTAAATAGGACAAAAAACTTCTTCGAACTGAGGTTATGATTTTGTAATCGGAAGATTTGGAAAAATAGCAAGAAGCAACTACGAACTTCCCAACTGCTCCGTCTCTATCTTCTTCCTCAGGATTCTCGATAAAGCTGACCAAACGCTTCCAAATCCTTGTACAGTAATCAATTTCCTCGCGACATCCCTTAGGTAACTCGGACTTCGCCGATCGTTCAACCCGGCAAACGACAAAATATAGATGATTTAGGCATCTGCAATAAACCGTGTGTAAGCGATCAACTCTATACCAACGTATTTACGATCAAAAATGTAAAAATGGTCTCAGAGTAAAGCGCTGGACCATTGTGACACTTGAACTCACACATGGAAAATTATCCCGGGCGCATGGGGCCGTTTACAGTGCAACTGGAAGATTAACTTCGGAGCGCAAACGTGAGAGAATTGCCAGGTCACTCTCCTAATCCGGCTTTACGTAATCCTATCTCTTTATCAAAGCATCTTGCTTTGGGCCAAACAAATTTGAAGAGATTCCCTCTCAAAAAGGCAAAAACTTCACACGCGCACTGAGAAATGGACTGCACTTCACAAAAAAGGAGAGAATTATGGAGGCTTGAGAATGGGTATTTTCCAACCCAAATAATCATTGACTCGAACCTCAAATATCCATCGCCTCGTTCGGTTTGAGCGACCTCTCTTATCACGCTGTCGTTCGCTAAGCCCAGCAGTCGGTCAGCCGTCTGAAAACGTCATGAAATACCCACGATGAGCAACAAAAATAGCCGAACACCTACTTATCTTGCTGAAACGCACCTTAAATATCTCCGTTGCAGCTGCGATGACCTTTTCCCAGCACTCTAGCAGTTCTGCACTGATCGCGTGAGACACTTGAGCTGAGCCGTTGATTTCGGATGCGGTGGAGCATGCCATCGAAATATTACTGGCTGTTGACACTGAAGAGACAAAACGAGGAAATCCAGTCTCACTAGCTAACAAAGAACTACAACAAAACCCTACCATCTTCGTCGCTCTTCGATGATTCGGTTGTCGGAGAGCTCAAGTCACGCGAAGCTGTGGCAACTTGTGTAGAAGTCAACGACGGCCAATCGATACCGCATAAATCATTCATGGCTGAGTTTGACTTGCTATCAAGCGCGTTTCTGGTTGTGTTTGGAGTGATCTGAGCTTGATGGCCTGACTTGGCTGGGCCTGCAATACCTACCTATATGATCTACGCTACAAATGTACGTTCCAGTACATCACCTAACTCACCAGACATAGACGGTAGGACCGATCCTGCTTCATCTTTGCCTGGCAATTTGGTAGTAGGAGGTAATGCTTCTCCTATCAAATCCATATCTTTTTTCTTCGCGTTACTACGCTTACCCATTAGTAGAGAGGTCGGTATAAAAGAAGAAGTCTGCCGCTGCTCTTTGGGTGGCGGAGCTCTGACAAAGCATTAATAAGTTTGAAAGGCGTAAAAGTTCCCAAAAGTTGACAACTCCCAGACTCACGCAGGTTTAGCGACATTAACTACAGGGGCAGCGAGGGACGGTGCAACAGGCACCTGCACTGACTGAAGGAAAGGAATGGGAAGTGAAGACATTGTCGATAAAGCTGCTAGCGATTCGCCTTTCTTCAACAGAGAATTTCAAGTAACAGCGTTAAAGGCTTTTGAATGTAACAGTAATGATGTAAGTTCAAACCTGCGCAAGAGCAATAAGAGCCAAACAGGAGAAGAACTCTGGACGAGTTAATTGGCCTGGGAGTGTACGATTCACAGCCGACCAGATGTAAGAAAGCACGGGCCTCGGCAAGCCAGACGTCACCATCAAGTTGTATACTGAATAGTACTTCAGAGCAAAGAGCAATCATAAAGGGAACAATTGTCTGGAGAGCAGCTCAGCTACTTTTGAAGTAATTGCTTCTAAAATGCACAGATTGAAGGAAAAGCCGTACCTAGAGCGGTATGGGGAAGCATATTTTGTTGCGTGGCACCACATGCAGCTATGGCGTCGCGATAAAATCGTGGTACACGAGCTTCATCAAGCAGAACTGGTGGCACAACACCACCACCACCTCCCATCATCCCTAAAAAGAGTTGAAAATCGACTGCAATCGGCTTAAGCAGAAACTTTTGAATGCACA